AGTATCTACTGTTGATAAAAACTGAAAAAATATTAAACTGAAATTTTGTGATAAAAGTCATCAACTTTAAGATATTGTAAAAAATATAAGAAATGATTGTCAGTAAGTTCATTGCTGACAGAAACTTTAAAATTACCCAATGAGATGGCAGAAGCCCTTAAGAAAACAACTAGAGTCTATTTAAAGTATAAACCAAACTTGTTACTCCAGTCACCATTACAAGAACAAATGCTCAATAAGAAAAGCATAAGATTATCAGTTAATGACATTTATTGACAGCCCTGTATGCGAAGTATTATGAGGGGTGAGTATTAAGACAGAAAAGGATACAACAAAATATAAGGCAAAAGAAAAGCAAATTCCTGCCCTTCAAGAGCTTACAGTCTAATTCATGATATGATATACATGCATGAAAAAGCCTTAAGACATTATAAATAAATTGAAAATAAATATAATTCAAACAAATCACAAAAGCAATGAAAAAATGATAAAATATATGAAAAAGTATGAAGTTACAAAGTAAGCATAATTTATTCAATATTGCCAAAATGTTTGAGAAATTATCATTAATATATCCATATCAGCTGTTAGCACTTATTGATCTCTCTCTTTACGATCTCCAATAACTATTTCTAAAACTAGAATGTAGTATGGGGACACCAGGTGGTGTGGAAGTTAAGGCTGGCCTCCCACATGGCCAACTGTGGTTCAAGTTGCAGACCTGGTGGCTTGAAAATCATGCAGGGCACATGTGCACGCATGCCCCAAATCTGAGAAGAATGGAAAAGAAGTGATAGGGCATGGCCATACTCCCTGGGGGGTGGTATCACACTTTCCCTCTCACTGATTCAGTCTCTCTCCAGCAAGCACACACACCCCAAGGCAAAAACCTAAAATAAACAAACAAAAAAAACCTTAGAAGGTACTATCAAAACAATTCATATGTGTAAGTCAGAGCCTCCAGTTTCCCTTTTTTACTAATGAAATAATATACTAAGACAAATGTATTTTCTTCAGAATTTTACATAAACGATCATATCATAACCTAAAAGCTAAATTACTTTAAAAAGAGCTAAAGAAGAATAAAAATTAGTTACTTTTTTAAAGTTTCATGCATCATATTATAAAAATGAATACATCAAACACTAAGGTCATAATCAGCTTTTATAGAAAAGAGAAAAATTCCACAAGTGCTACTAAACAATTTAAGCAGGCAGAAAACAAGCCTAAACACTTCAAATGAACGCAACATACTCTGAGATGCATGCATGGGTAGGGCTGCATGCACACAGGTAGATTCTGAACTTTTATTGAGTTAAAAGCTCAGAAGTAACACAGTTAATAAAAATTATGTTGAATCTGTGTATTAAACATAAAGCAGATAAATCTTCACAAACTGTTAAGTAGAAATATTAAGCCTCAGAAAAAAAGATATAGCCTTCCTATGCCATATCAGTGTTGAAATAATTTTATCTTCAGATCATTCCCTTTGTGGTCTTATTTACAACAAAAAAAAGCTGCCTGGGTAATATCTATACCTAGAATAATGAAATGCTTTGAGATAAGAAGTTGGAAAAGAATTATTTTCTGGGAGCATTTGTCTCAGGTAAAATCTAGAGTCATTTTATGCAATTTAAAAATTGCTAAAATTTCTAAAGATACTGAGTTTCTTCCTTTTTTTGGAGAGTTGTTTCTTTTTGTTTGTTTGTTTGTTTGTTTTTGCTATAGGGCGCGTGCACTCACCAGACAGACAGAGAGAAACAGAGAGACAGAAAGCGAGAAATCACCCCCCCAGAGGGGATGGCCACGCCGCAATCCCTTCTCCTCCGTTCTCCTCTCGGGATCTTGGGCATGCACACACACGTGCCCGGCGTGAGTTTCAAGCCACCCGGTCTGGGATGCAAACTGCGGTTGACCACATGGGAGCCCAGCAACATAGCCGTTACGCTAACTGCTGGTCCCGTGATACTGAGTTTCGAAACTGTAACTACATCGATAGTTCACATAAGATGCTAATTAAAAATGGGGAAAAAAATCTACATTACTATCATAAAATAGTTTTCGAAACAAAACTGAAAAATGGCACAAAACTTTTGTAGTAAGATTGTACTACTACTAGTAAATGGGGAATATTTTACACAAATTCAACCAAAAAACTTAGAGGTGGGTTTCACAGTCACAGCATGGATGCCAGGCCCACGCTCACCTTGGACGTCTTCCTCTCCACCATCACCATCTTCTTCCTCATTGTAAGCCAGCTCAGCCTGCTTGTCTGCCTCATACTCACCTACGTTACCATCATCCCCATTATAATCCGCCAGTTTAGAGCCATGTTGCGGATCAACAGGGGATTCATTCTCATCAAAGAATCGGCCTGTGAAGTAGGTAGAGGATTAATTCGAGAGTAAAGAGAAGAAAAGAAGGGACCTATACTGAAGGCAGACCAGAGTAGACAAGTGAAAACTGGTAACTTTCAGGGTACTGGTTAAAAAAAAAAGTTACATTTCGTGATGGTTATCTGAGACAAAATAAGAGCAAAGACTCTCAAAATAACTTTTATTGAAGAATGTGTGTTAATTTTAGTACTTGCTATTAAGAATTCAATGTTTTCTTAAAGAAACAGTCATCATTTTCAGGACTGACTGTCTTTTCCTTAATAACTATCAACTTTTCTACTATTAATAGAAATATTTGTCCATTTTAACACTTCAGGAGAAAAACAAATCATTTTATTACTAGACAATATATATTTGAAATCTGAAGTTATTATTGCTTTAGGAAATAACATTTTCTATGAATAATTTTGCAAACTTAAAAAAAATGAGTACTATGCAGGCAAATTTCTTTTTTGCTACTCAGACATCTAAGGGCTCTCTGGAATTCCTTCAGTAATAGTGCTACACAACAGCCATGGATTTGTAAGGAGGGAGGGGCAAAGAGAGTAAGTTATTAGAATGGCCCTACTAGGGATATTTCCTAGCAGTATGTATTTTGAGAAATATCCCAAATAATTCTAGTTATCTGTTGCCAGTTTCTAGGTCAAATTCATAAAAACCTCAATGGAAGCTTGAGAAAGTTGACCTACTTGAGACCATGATAATGTACATATTTGTAACAACTAAAAATCAAGAAGAACAATAGACATGACATCTACTGTGGAAAACTATTCAGCACCTAGATATTAAAAATATTAGGCACACTAAGATCTGACTCACAAATGCAAATAAAATTCTACTTTGATGTTAAACTTATTTATTTTTAAAGAATTATTTTTATTTAAGTTTATTTATTTTTAAATTTGACCAGAGAGGGACAGAGTGAGAGAGAGAGAGAGAGAAGGAAAGTGAGAAAGCAAGCCACCAGGTCCAGGACTCCAACTGTGGTTGGGCGAGTGGGAGTCCAGCGCCCTTAACCAGCACGCCACCTGCCAGCCTTTGATGTTAAATTTAACTAGCACAAAAGTAAATCGTATTCTAATCCTTAAAGTACAAGTGAAACTAACTTATGATGTAAGAATTTAAGATTTAAACATTTTACAAGTTTCTGTGTTAGGTTTAGAATTTTTGCAGTAAATTAAAAATTGTACAATGCAATAAGACAAGACAAAAATTAACAGCGTCATTTGCTTAGGAAGAACAGTTCAGTACAGATGTAAAGAATTATGGCAATACTGCTCAATTCTACAGGTAGTTCACCACATTATCAACTGATATTTTTTGTTTATTTATTGATTTCTTCCATGAGAGAGAAAGAGACAGAGTAACAGACAGACAGGCATCCCCAACACATCCTTACACTGTGATTACCTCCAGTCTTGGTCAGCCCAGATCACAGGCATATGAGCATACCCTCTATGCTCAGACAGTTCCCAAGATGTGAACCACAGGACGTGAACCCAGGACTTTTCCCATGTGGGTCCAGTTGTGTTACCACTATACCACCAGCTGGCCCCTGATTATTACTTAACAAGGGGAAGTATGTTGGCATGGGGCCAGGCAGTGGTGCAACGGTAATGTAGCTACATCAAAAGAGAAAGGTCCTAGATTGGAGTCTCTATGACCTCCCTAAACACACTAAGAACATGCATGTGCCCATGATCCTACCTGGCCATGACTGGAGGGGGTGGATCACAGTGTAAAGACTCAGTTGAGGGTGCCTATCTATCTCTCTGTTTCTTTTCCTCTCTATGGAAGAAATCAATAAACTTTTTAAAAGTCAATCAAGGAAATAAAGAATAAATCACATTTGCATAGGCCTTTAAAGGCAGTATGGTAACAATAGAATACTGAAGTACCTGGAGCCAATAAGAACATGCATTAATCATAAATCTATTCTAGAATAAGGTTGGGGTATGTATAATAAACAAATGGAAAAATTTATCAACTAGAGTTAGAGAAAAGAATGCATATACAAGAGCTGGAAGAAAAGCAGTAACAAGAGAAGAATAGGCAAGGCTATTTATAAGAAAAACAATGACTCCTAATTACTGTAATATAAAACAAAAAACATTCTTGTTTCTTTTTTTTTCTTTCTTTTATTGCTAGAGGGTACATGTATTTGCTAGAGAGAGTGAGAGACACAAAGAGAGGGAGAAAGCACCTCAATGGGGTATGGTCAGACCTAATCCCTTTTTCTTTCATTTTCTCCATCCCATCAGGATTTTGGTTTTTCACGCACATGTGTATTAATGTGTTCAGATTGCAGTCAGCCACAGGAGACCCGGCTTTCTATGCAAAGCACTTAATCACTGTACTATAGGACCAGCCCTAAAACAAATGTTTTGGTGGCTTTTATTATCTTTTTTAATGATGAAATAAATGAAACCAATGTAAGCAGGAAAAATGGAGATTTAGAGAAATTCATGCTTCCTTTTCCTCAATATGCAATATTTACTTTTAGACAAAACAGTTGATGCAGCTAAATCATCTTTATGAAAATGCTATTGGAAACATAAAAATATTTAAATATGGTAGTTACCAGTGAGTTTTTCAAAGTACACTATTTCCTCCAAAAACAGTTTTTCATGTTTTATCAGTTATGAAATACAGAAGAGTTAAAAAAAAAAAAAAAACACTAGAGGGAACCAGCAGTTAGCGTAATGGCTATGTCGCTGGACTCCCAAGTAGTCGACCGCGGTTCGTGTCCCGGACCCAGTGGCTTAAAACTCACACCGGGCATGTGTGCGTGCGTGCCCAAGAGCCTGAGAGGAGAATGGAGGAGAAGGGATTGCGGCATGACCATCCCCTCTGGGGGATGATTTCTCGCTTTCTGTCTCTATGTCTCTCTCTGGTGAGCGCACGCACCCTATAGCAAAAACCTCTCCAAAAAAAAAAAAAAAACTAGGTTAAGATGAATTATTGCAAGGTATAGTTAATTTTCCAGTATTATCAGACATGGTAGGTAAAGAAATGACATTCTTAATTAAGAATGGATGCCGGGAACCAGCAGTTAGCGTAATGGCTATGTCGCTGGACTCCCAAGTAGTCGACCGCGGTTCGTGTCCCGGACCCAGTGGCTTAAAACTCACACCGGGCGTGTGTGCGTGCGTGCCCAAGATCCCGAGAGAATGGAGGAGAAGGGATTACGGCATGACCATCCCCCCTGGGGGGGGATTTCTCGCTTTCTGTCTGTCTCTGTTTTTCTGGCGAGTGCATGCACCCTATAACAAAAACTTCTAAAAAAATTAAAAAAAAGAATGGATGCCCATGGGGACTAGCAGTTGGCATAATGGCTATGTCGCTGGACTCCCATGTAGTTAACTGCGGTTTGAGTCCTGGACCCGGTGGCTTAAACTCATGTAGGGCATGTGTGCATGTGTGCCCAAGATCCCAAGAAAAGAATGGAGGGGAAGGGATTACAGTGTGGCCATCCCCCCCCGGGGGGGTGACTTCTCACTTTCTGTCTCTCCATCTTCCTGGTGAGCACATGCACCTTATAGCAAAAATCTCTCAAAAAAAAGAATGGATGCCCACATAACTATCCTTTGTTAAATAGTAAACTGTGCTGTTATAATGATAAATACAAAATTGTCGTGTTTGGAGAAAGAGCTAATCCTTAATATTAAGTCTCTACCACTCTCACAGATGACAAGAGAGGAGTGAAACAGAGTCAGCTGCACCAAGTTACTAGTCAAATTGAGATGAGACAAACTCGACATTAAATACATGAAATACAACAGTAAAGATAAAAATGCATGATGCTGGTCAATACAACAGACTACTAAATCATACAGGTATCAGGTAACATATCAATATAGGCTAGTTAGAAAGGTTTCAAAAAGTCAAATTAGGGCCAGCAGGGGTTGTGGTGGTTAGGGCACTGGATCTCACATGGTTGACCCTGTGGTTCAAGTCCTGGACCTGGCGGCTTGAAGAACACGCCAGGTGAGGGACCAGCAGTTAGCGTAATGGCTATGTCGCTGGACTCCCAAGTAGTTGACCGCAGTTCACGTCCCGGACCTGGTGGCTTAAAACTCACGCTGGGCACGTGTGCGTGCGTGCCCAAGATCCCGAGAAGAGAATGGAGAAGAAGGGATTGCGGCGTGGCCATCCCCCCTAGGGGATGATTTCTCGCGTTCTGTCTCTCTGTCTCTCTCTCTGTCTGTCTGGTGAGCGCACGCGCCGTATAGCAAAAACCTCTAAAAAACAAAAAGTAAAGAACATGCCAGGTGTGTGTGCATGTGTGCACAAAATTCCAAAAGGAGAATGAATGAGAAGGGATTGCAGCATAGCCATCCCCCATGTGGGAGGTTATTTTTCATTTTCCCTCTCTCTGCCTCTATCTGTCTCTCTTCGGTGAGCACATATATCCTATGGGAAAATTCTAAAAAGCAAACAAACAAAAAATGAGACAAATTAGACTATGACAGAAGGAAGGAAAGAAGCATTCAAAGAACAGGTAAGAATGAAGATGGGTAGGGGCCAGCAGGTAGAGTGGAAGTTAAGGGTGGCTAGATCCCACATGTCCAACTGTGTGGTTCAAGTCCTGGACCTGGTGGCTTGAAAAACATGTCAGGCATATGTGCATGTGTACCCAAAATCCCAAGAGAAGAATGGAAGAGAAGGGTCTATGGTGTGGCCATCCATTCTGAGGAATTATTTCTTACTTTTCCCTCTCTTCCTTTCTCTCTGGTGAGCATGTGTGCCCTATAGTAAACTTAAAAAAAAAAAAAAAGACGGTATTCAGGAAATAGTAAAGAGATTATATTGGATTATATTAGAAAGTAGAAAGATGTTTGCGCAAATTAGGGATAATTACGGAAGACCTTTAAGGTTAGAGATTTTAAAAGGCCTCCTATAGCCATCTTAAAGCCATTGAATCAAATGACAAAGTTCATAAAAGTGTCTACAATGCACTTCATCTATCCAACAAACA